TTGCATTTTTTTTGTTGCATTTTTTATTGAGATGTAATTGACTAACATTATGTTAATTTTAGGTATACAACATAATCATTTTATATTTGTGTATATTGAGAAATTATTACCGTAATAGATCTAGTTAAAATCCATCATTACACATAGGTACAGATTTTCTTTTCTTGTGCTGAAGGTATTTTTTAAATATTTTATTGATTTTTTACAAAGAGGAAGGGAGAGAGATAGAGATTTAGAAACATCGATGAGAGAGAAACATCAATCAGCTGCCTCCTGCACACTGCCCACTGGGGATGTATATGCCCTTGACGGGACTCGAACCTGGGACCCTTAAGTCCAAAGACCAACGCTCTATCCCTACTGAGCCAAACCGGTTTTGGCTCATGTAGTATTTTTACTCTCAAGTTTTTGAAGAGCCTCCATACTGTTTTCTCCATAGTGGCTACCCCAATTTACAACCTCACCCAACAGTGCACAAGGGTTTCATTTTCTCCACATCCTTATCTTTTTGATAATATCATCTAACAAGTGTGAAGTGATACCTCACTGTAGTCTTAATATATCCTCACCTGAGGATATGTTTTTATTGATTTTAGAGAGAGAGAAAGGGAGGGAGAGAGAGAAAAAAAATCAATCAGTTGCCTCCCCTATGAGCCCCTATTGGGATGGGACCACAACCTGCGTATGTGCCCTGGCCAGGAATGAAACCTGCAACCTTTTGGTGTATGGGACGACGATCCAACTAATTGAGCCACCTGGACAGGGTTGATATTTTTTCTATTTATTTGCCTATTAGTGATGTTGAGCACTTACTTTCTCATTATCTATTGCCCATTTGTATGTCTTCTTTGGGAAAATGACTATTCAGATCCTCTGCCCATTTTAAAATCAGATTGTGTTTTTGGTATTGGGTTGTATGAGTTAAAGTTGTTTTTTAGGAGCAAACATTTAAAGCTGGCTTAATGTAATGTTCCATTTTCCTCTGCCCAGATACCCTTAATAAAAACACATCTTTGAGCTTGTGGATGATTTGTTTTGAAAAAGCCAACTGTGGGTTTTGAAGCAAAACCAACTGTCTTGTGTTCCCTTCAAAATGATGCCTACAAGGTACCCTCTGGATTTCGCCTCTTCCTAAAAGTCCTGGCCAGGTGTGCAATTTCTTGTCATGGAGTAACCCTTGTCCCCAGGGCCCGGCTCCTCTCCCTCATGCTCTTCAGCCTCAGAGAACACAGGGTACTCGTGACCCCAAAGAGCATTTTTCTGCTGTGACAAGTGACACAAGAGGGCAATTCTGGGCCCAGTACCTCCGAGATCCCGGAGACCTCTCCCCATTCTGAAAGCTGCACCCTCATTCTAGAAGTTATTTTATGGTGCATACATATATTATATAATAAAAGCCTAATATGCAAGTCTCTGGTCATCAGGTCCGCCATTCAGTCAATCAGAGTGTAGTAATATGCTAATGATATGCTCGCTATGATGTGTATTGACCACCAGGGGACACGTGCTCTGACTGGTAGGTTAGCTTGCTGAGTGATACAGGCTGGACCCACCCTGGAGCCCTCCCACTGTCCCTCCCGGGCTGGCCAACCTCCTACATCCCTCCCTGGCCCCAATCATGCACCCAGTGGAGTCCCTCTGCCTGGCCTGCACCCTCTTGCAATCTGAAACCCCTCGGGGGATGTCAGAGAGCCAGTTTCGGCAGAACAGCCAGTCACTATGATGTGCACTGACCACTAGAGGGCAGGCAGTCAACGCAGGAGCTGCCCCTAGTGTTCAGTGCGCTCCTATAGGGAGCTGGGCTCAATGGCAGTGCTAAGGATGTCCAATTGTCAGCTTAGGCCTGCTCCCTACCTAAGCCATCAGTCGGATATCCCCTGAGGGCTCATGGACTGTGAGAGGGCACAGGCCAGGCTGAGGAACACCCCACCCCCCCGCATCCCTGAGTGCACGAATTTCGTGCACCGGGCCTCTAGTATTAATATATGATACAAAATATATAATGTTCAAAAACAAAATTCAACTTCAAATTTTAAAGATCTTATTGACTTTTTTCAGATTCAGGATTCAGGCAGCATCCCATCTAAAGAAGCCCCAATGAGCTGTTCAGTTTTATAGGCAGAAGGAGTGGGACAAGGAGGTTAATAGCAAAGAGTAGATTGTTTGTGGAAAGATCACCTTCCCTAAGGTGATCAAGCGGGGGTGTATCAAGCAGATAACCTCACTGGTGCTGACCAGGTGATTCCGGATTGCCTGGTTTAACATTCCACTCCTCAGAGAGGTTGAACCTGTAAGTTAGATATTAAGTCTTAGTTTGGTGATTTGAGACTTAGCACACGTGACTACATTTTGGGCCTGTTGTCTCCCTCTCTCTTTTTAAACAATAAAGTGATGCAGATTGCCTTTTTAATCACAGCCCATAGCACAGTAGTTTGAGTTTGCTGGTTGAGTCCCATTATTTTGACATAAATTTAGTTGGTTGTGATCAGCTTTATTGAAATTAAATAGAAGAGAGGAGAAGGGAAATGGCAGAGCAAATAGTACTTTTAAAAAGGTATCTATTACTTTCTGAAACTTCGTTTTCTTTAGGGAATGCATGCATGAGTGTATGGGACTATAAGTGAATGTATGATGTAAATATACTTCCTAGTTTAAAATATTTCTTAAAACAAATAACTGTTGTCCAGCCAGTGTTGCTCAGTGGTTGAATATCCACCTATGAACCAGGAGGTGACAGTTTGATTCCTAGTCAGAGCGCATGCCCGGGTTACATGCTCCATCTCCAGTAGGGGTTGTGCAGGAGACAACCAATCAGTGATTCTCTCTCATCCTTGATGTTTCTCTCCCTCTCTCCCTTCCTGTCTCTGAAATCAATAAAAATATATTTTCTAAAAAAAGAAGAAAAACATTTTTAAAAGAAATAACTGTTTAGCTAATAAACATGAAAAATATTTTTAAAAAGAAAGAAATTCAGTATTACTAGAGACAAGGGAAGAGACAAGGTATACTAGAAATAAAAGGACATTAAGAAACTTCCTCCCAGTTGCCTACCTTGGTGCAGAACCCTGGGCTCTTGCTCTGGAGGGGGGGAGGGTAGCAGGTCCTGCAGGGACTGAAGGAAGTCGCCATGGAAGCCGGTGGCTCTGGCATGTGGATTGCTTGTGCCAACTGACCATGTTCCAGGCCTCATCCTGGGCCACGTGGGCTGTTGGTCACTATTTAACCAACATGAGCTCTGGGTGATGCTCAAGGAGCCCGTGTTCTGGAGCACAGATGTAGCGGCCCAACCTGGAGGCTGGACACATGTAGAGAAGACCCAGCCAGGTAGCCCCATGCCAGCAGTCCGAGCGAGCGACCTGGTAACTGTTCTGAACATGGATCCTGTGCAGTAGGAGATACAGTTCAGTGAGGGGACCTCCCTAGGGTAGGTGCGCATGAATTCAGAATTATGTGGCCTCTTAGGGGGAGGGGGCTGGTGGAGAGCATGGAGGGGGTCCCTGATTGCCATAGGAGGGCTTTGACCACAGAAGAGAGCTGTGGAGGGGAGGGGAGTATCCACACATGACTGGTGTCCTCCCTCTGTTACTGAGTGAGTAGGCGTACAAGTTGACAATTATAAAAAGTCACAGGGAGCCCAGTTGGCATGGCTCAGTGATTGAGCATCAACCTATGTACCAGGAGGTCATGGTTTGATATTCCCGGTCAGGTCACATACCCGGGTTGGAAGCTTAATCCCCAGTGTGGGGTGTGCAGGAGGCAGCCAATCAGTGTTTCTCTCTCATCATTGATGTTTCTATCTCTCTCCCTCTCCCTTGCTCTCTAAAACCAATAAAAATATTTTTTAAATAAATAAATAAATAAATAAATAAAAAGTCACATGGACCCTTTTTTAAGAAGATGGTGCCAAAAGTGAAAAAGGAAGCCCCTCCCCTTCCCAAAGCCAAAGCCAGAGCAAAGGCTTTGAAGCCAAGAAAGCAGTGCGGAAAGGCGCCCACAGCCACACACAGAGATCAGCACGTCACCACCTTGTGAGAGCCAAAGACACTGAGGCTCCGAGGCAGCCCCAGTATCCTCAGAGGAGCGCACCCAGGAGAAACAAGCTTGCCCACTATGCCGTCATCAGTTTCCCCCCAACTGCTGAGTCAGCCGTGAAGAAGACAGAAGACAGCACTACACTTGTGTTCATTCTGTGCAGAAGCGCTGTGACATTGACGTGGTGAAGGTCAACATCCTGATCAGGCCTGATGGCGAGAAAAAGGCATATGTTCGACTGGCTCCTGACTGTGATGATGCTATGGATGTTGCCAACAAAATTAGGATTATCTGCATTGAGTCCAGCTGGCTAATTCTAAATATAAAAATTTTACACTGTAAAAATAAATAAATAAAAGTGATGGGAATGGCAACTACAGTATAGGGCAGTGGTCGGCAAACTGCGGCCCACATGCAGCTCTTTGGCCCCTTGAGTTTTTAGCAAAGGCCAGCTTAGGAGTACCCTATTTAAGTTAATAACAGTGCACCTACCTATATACCGGGTTTCCCCGAAAATAAGACATCCTCCGAAAATAAGACCTAGCGCATGGAAAGATAAGACATCCCCTGAAAATAAGACTAGCGCAACTTTGGGAGAAAAAAATTAATATAAGACACTGTGTTATTTTCGGGAAAACAGGGTAGTTTTAAAATTTTGGCTCTCAAAAGAAATTTCAATAATTGTACTTTGATATTTGGCTCTGTTGACTAATGAGTTTGCCGACTCATTAGTAAGTATAGGCTAAAAGGCAGGTGACTCAGAGGCCTGTTTGTGACAATCAAATAAAATACTCTTGTAAATGATTAAGCCATCAGTGGAGGGAACTGTGGCATTCTTTCCCTGCAGGGAGACAGACACCAGGTTAGGAATCACACTCAGTTCTTGCTTCAAGTGAAAGGGGCATGCGGCAGATGGGGAAGGCCCTTTCTCATCCGGTTTCATGCCCCCTCTTGTTCCGCAGGACCTGGCTCCGCTGTCCCCAGCAGCCTGGAATGGGTAATGGTGTGAAGGAAGGCGCGGTGCGATTGCGTGAGGATGCCGACACCGTCCTGCCCTCATCCGTCCCTTCAAAGGCAAGTTGCCCTCATGCGTTCTCATGCACCCATCACAGATTATCCCCTACACTGGTGTGGGGCTGCATCCGTGTGAGACCGTGGGTGGGGGAGATGCTGGCTGCCCCATTTGTGATGTGAATCCAGCCCCCAACCACTTGGCAAGAGCCAAAACCTTACCCAGTTTTGGCTGGAATGTTCGAAGTTGTCCTGGAGCCCATTTACTCTCTCAGATTTGCAAACAAAAGAATCGGCAAACTCAGGCTCATTTGTGAGGAAGGGCCCTCGCCCGGCCTTTCCTAGCTCTCAGGGCAGGTCTCAAAGTTTACAAGCTCAAAGGCAGAGGTGGTGATCCTCCCAACCCTCCAAACCATCCCCAAATTCCAGAAGGCCCTGCAGAGCGCCAGGCAGGTGGGAGGACTGGCTTGTGGGCCAGTGTGCTGGGCCACTGTCCCTGTACCATGTGGAGCATCGAGGGTGAGCCTACAGCAGGCATACATGTCCCTCCCAGTTTAGTGAACTTCCCAGCAGAGCACGAGGTAGACTCTGCCCCTCTACTTGCTGGTTGGATCCCAGCAAAAGGCCTGTCTGTTCCCATCTCATGCCTGGATACCCAGTGCCCATCTTCTTCTGTGCCGGCCACACATCTGACATCAGCCTGGTCCACTTGGCCAGCCCGATGTGGAAGCTCACCTTGTAAATCTGTTTCTTTGGTTAAGAAGCCCAGAGTCTTCTCGCAGTGCCCACGGCTGTTTGGATCTGTGATGGCCCTCGTTCTCGGTCGGACTGCAGGATCCCTCCATACAACGGACAAGGACACATTGACCACTTGCTGATGCCTGTGCTGAGCTCTTCAAAAAATAAGCTGCTGTGGTCAGTAAGAGCCCCTGGGCAGCATCTGCTAAGCCAGGAAGTGGACTTACAGAGCGTCAGGAGCCCCCTGGAGCGCAGGGCTTAAGGACATGTGTTCCAGACGCACAGAGCTGGCCTTGGGATTGTAAGAACCACAGATTGCACAGGAAGTGACCTGCAAAAGGAGGCCCCAAGGACCCATTGGCTTCGCCTTCAGTGCCAACAGGCACCTAAGCTGATGTGGGGTGTTCCCTTGGCTCACAGCGGGGTGAGCAATTGCTCATTGGTTCACAGAGAGGAAACTGAGGCAGGGAGCAGCTGCTAGGAGTACCACTGAACCTTCTAGCACCTGGCATTCATATCTCTCAAAGCCAGCAGGACCGGACGACCAGAACCTTGCTGTGTGACCCAGAAAAGCCAGGGGTCCCAGTGACAGGCCTGTGTGAATCAAGGAGCAGATGGAACCCTCTGGTGAAGTTCTGCCTCAGAAACAGGAGGAAACACTTCTCTGGGCAGGTGGAGGGGGTGCCAGGGCGTGAAGGGAAAGGAGCTGGGCCATCCAGGCTGGGGCCAGGTTGCAGGGCACACAGCCGCTGGGAGCAGCTGGGACACAGAAGAGGATCTGGGAGTGGTCCCTGGACCAGGAGATACCACTCGGCGTGTCAGAGATGAAGAAGGAGAGACGAGAGAGGCCATCCTCTGGTCACTGCAGTCAGGACAGAGTCCAGAATCAGGCCAGAAGTGTGGACAGACCCCGGGCCAGGCCCTCCACCCCCACCCCTGGGCCACCGCTGAGCTGAGCAGACTTGGTGAGGGGTTGCCCTGAGCTCCACCAGGTCCACTCAGACCTAGGCTGCCAGTTTTACCCCCAAATACCCTCACAGTCTCTCCTGTTGCACCCTCTCCGGTCACAGCCTCTGCCGCTCCATCTTGATTACTGCAGGATCCACCTCTTCTCTGGTCATCGTGAAAACGGCCTGTCCACTCTGTGCTTCTCCATGTCTGTCTGGGCAAAAGCCAGCCTCTTTGTGGCCCCCAACTGGATTGGCGACTGCGCACCTTGTCTAAAGATTTAGTTCATGTCTTGCTCTCTCCGAAGATACAGGGGGTGGGGGGTGGCTCTGAGGGGCTGGTGAGGCTCATATATACCCCCACTCTGCACCACATGTCTCCAGACCCCTCAGGGCACCTTGTCTGCGTGGGACTTCATGGATTCCTGGGATCATTGGACGACCTGATCCTTGCCATTCTTGCTCATTGCTGACGAAGGAGAGCTGCGGGCACCTCCAGTCCAGAACATTGCAGAGTGCTCACCGCAGTTCCTTGTGAGAGTCAGGTGGAGGAATGGACTCCAACCCAGTGAGACTGCCCAGGACTCGGATGGACATGGAAGGGAAGGAAGGCGGGAGAGAGGCTGTACCAGGAGGACTTGGAGAGCCTCCAGAAGACGGGGGAAGTGCTGGCCCTGAGGCTGCCACTGGAGCTCGAAATCAGGCCGGCCACCGTCCCCACCTCCCTGGCCTTGGCTGAAGGGCCACAGACACCAGTCCCTGTGTCCCCTTTCTACATCTTTGTAGAAAGGGGACACACTGGCACAGGCAGGGTCCTCTTGCCCAGCACCCCCTGCCTGCCCCCCCCCACCACAAGGGCCCTCATGACTTTGCCTGAAACACTACAATGCAGGGAGTCCGGCACACGTGCGCGGACAGAACCAAGGCTTATAAGCTGGGCCAGGGGGGGCTTATGTTTGGAGTCAGTCCCATTGTGGCCCAGACAGGGCGTCACCTCTCATGGGTGGGCCCTGGCAGCTGGGAGGTTTTTCACCGTCTCCTGCTTGTCCAGGGCCCGCGCGGGCCAGGACACTCACGCTGCTGTGCATCTCTCCGCCCCGGTCCAGGGCAGCGGGGTGACGGAGGGTGAGGAAAGGGGATCTTGGTGTCTCCCCCCGGGGTGCAGACCTCTCCCTCCCTCTCTGACCACAGACGTGTGTTCATGTGTTTCTTGCAGACCGATCACAGGCAAGTTCTCAGCTCCCTCTTTTCTGGGGCCCTGGCTGGCGCTCTTGCCAAAACGGCAGTAGCTCCCTTGGACCGAACCAAAATCATTTTCCAAGGTAAAAGCTGTCTGTCTGTCTGTCCCTCTGTGATAGAGATGCTGCCAGGCAGTCACCCTCTTCACAGCTTCCCAGACTGCACTGTGAAGTGGAGTCCTGGGGCGGCCAGCACACAGTACCACACACCAGGCAGCTTAGAACCGGAGTTTATTCCCTCGCATTTCCAAGGCAGAAGTCTGAACCGAGGTGCTGGCAGGGTTGGTCCCTTCTGGAGGCTCCAGGAGAAGAGCCTTTCCCAGCTCTGGGGGCGCCAAGCATCCTTGGCTTGTGGCCGCATCACTCCAATCTTTGCCTCCCTTCTTGCCTGTGTCCTCCATCTCATGAGGACACCGAGCATTCGGTTAGGGCCGACCGACCCCACTCGCATACAGCCCTGGTTTAATTTAATGACATCTGCAGAGGCCTCATTTCCACAAGGTCCTGGGGGTGAGGACAGGGCCGTGTCTTTTTGGGGGACACAGTTCAAGACACCATCTCTCTCTCCCTCCTGAGGGTGAAACAGGCTCAGGGTCCCCCGAAGACGAAGCCTTTCCACCCTGTACGGTGGCCAGTGGCTTCTCGGCACAGGCAGGGGCGTGGCCACAGCCTGGGACCCCCGTCTTTCAGCTGTTTTAAAAGAGAAGCCCCCCCCCCCAATTCCTTGAGCTACCCTAGCCCCTCTGTGCCTCAGTTTTCTTATCTAGACAACAAGGACGATAACATCAACTCCCCCCCAGAGGCTGTGGAAAGAGCAGGCAGGAGGGAGCTCCCTGTGTTCCTTCCTCCACGTCAGCTGCGTTTTTCCCTGGCAAACCTGAGGGGCAGCGCCCGCAGGGCCCGCTGTGACTCTGAAGGCAGAGCGTGTGCTCACCCCCACGCAGACGAGAGTGCAGGGTGTGTTAGAAACAAGGTAGAGGCTCAGAAAGTGAGGAGCCGGAGACTACAAGACAGAGGCCTCCCCGGTGAGCCTGTCCTGGGGAGTTGGATCCCCTGAGCTGATCCTCACAAGAATAAGGACTGTGACACCTTCCTCGGAAGGGTTTGGTTGGGTGGGGATGCTGTCAACCCTCCAGAGGCACGTCCTCCCCAGACCCCGGGGCAGTTCACCCCCGCTTCCTGGGGACAGGCTGGCATGCTGAGTGGCCGGGTCCAGGGGTGAGGAGGTTCCTGGGAGGAGACTCTCCCCGCTCAGCCCTTTGTGGGGGAGGGAGCATGCTCGGGGACTGCTGTCATTCCCCAGCTTAGACATGCAGCAGGGGGTCGCAGACTTGGGGGGGGGGGTCCTCTCCTTCGCATCTAACAGTCTGTTTGTGTTGTTTTTCCTCCCAGTATCTTCAAAACGATTTTCTGCGAAGGTGAGCCACTAGGTCACCAACTCCTGGCTCAGACTGTCACAAGCTGCCCTGCTGGACAGGCAGGAGGCTGTGGAGGCCTTGGGGGAGGGGGGGAGGGAGATGCTTTTCCCCTTTGGTCCCCCCCCAGGCTGGTTCCCAGGAGCCCCCCTGCGGGGGGTGGGATCACTTGTCCTGGCGCTCTGGGCCCTGCCTGGATGCAGCCCACTGGGAACTCACAGGAGAGTGCCTGTCCTAGGGCTGGGGGTCAGGTGACTTGATGTTTTAAACTCGTATTTTCACATTTATTTTTAAACATAGAGCAGGTGTTACTTAATAAAGAAAAGAAAAACATTTTTAAAAGCTAGCCTACCAGACAACCATCAACAAAACGCCCTGTGTGGGGTTCTGAGCCTGCTTTGCAAACCTGGCGTTCCCTCTCATTTTGCAGATCCCAGGGTGGAGGGCTGTGTGGGCAGAGAAGGTAGTGGGTAGTGGGGCCCCAGGCACAGGGCTGGACAAAGCAAAGCAAGGAGTTCCCGGAGCAGGGAAAGGAGAGGACAGGCGGAGGCGCTGACCTTGTCCCCCCTCTAGGAGGCCTTCCGGCTGCTCTACTACACCTACCTCCACGAGGGCTTCTTCAGCCTCTGGCGCGGGAACTCGGCCACCATGGTGCGAGTGGTGCCCTACGCCGCCATCCAGTTCAGCGCGCATGAGGAGTACAAGCGAATCCTGGGCCGCTACTACGGCTTCCGTGGAGAGTGAGGCCCCCACCCCCTCCACCCTCCAGCCCCCTGCTCTTCTGTCCTCCTCTCACATGCTCACCATGTGAGAACCCAGGTCCCTACCGTTCACCCATTGAATCGTCCACCTAGAGGCTCCACCATCTCAGCTTCCAGAAAGCCAGCCCCCCGTCCTTGGTTGCTCCACACAGAGCTGTGGGCCTTGGGGTCTCACCATCTCTCCTCCCCCTCCCCCCTTTCAGAGCCCTGCCCCCCTGGCCTCGCCTCCTGGCAGGGGCCCTCGCCGGAATCACAGCTGCTTCACTTACCTACCCCCTGGACCTGGTCCGAGCCCGCATGGCCGTGACCCCCAAGGAAATGTGAGTCCTACCGTGGTGGCCTTCACCAGTGCCAGGAGCTGTGTCCAGTAGGGCCCCCACGTTGACTCTGTTTGTCCTATCCTTGGGTTTGGGTCTGGGCCTCTGTGTCCAGCCCACAGAGGAAGCTCAAGGTGCCACCCACCACATGGGCCCTGCCTGGTACCACAGGGCGGGCCGATCTGCAGCTTCCAAGACATCCTCTAAGCCCGGGGGTCAGTTCTGCTTCTGTAAAAGCTGAGCCTTCGTTTTTAATTGGCCACAGACGCATTAAAACCTCGGGAACACGAGGCCGGGGCTGAGTCCACAGCCCGCCCTCCGGTCCCTCTGTCCCGGCAGGTACAGCAACATCTTTCACGTCTTCATCCGCATCTCCCGGGAGGAGGGCCTGAGGACTCTCTACCACGGCTTCACGCCCACCGTGCTGGGCGTCATCCCCTACGCCGGGCTGAGCTTCTTCACCTACGAGACTCTCAAGAGCCTGCACAGAGGTGAGGAGGGGGTGGGCAGCACCCACGGTCACACAGACCTGGGCGCCAGGCACTCGGGCCCCCAGGGGCGGGCAGGCTGGGGGCCCAGCGTCCGAATCAAGAGAAGACACATGACGTCAGGAGTCATGTGAGGAACCCAGACGTAGGACCTTTAATGCCCAAGGTTAGAGCAGCCTAGTAAAGGTCAGGGAGGCCCGGAGTGTTGGTGGCCCCTTGTGCAGCACAGGCACCTGCACAAAGCCCATGGAGGAGGTGTGTTCAGCTTTGAGAGACTTGAAAAGCACAGGGAACATTATAACAACCCCCACCCCCACCCATCAAGTGCCGGCGGCTTCCTCTCCATGGTTGCGAATACTTGTGCACTTAATATGTGGCAGGAACAATCCCTCATCCGGTTTCCTGGTTATAAAAGGTAAAGAGTTGAGTCACCTTCCACACCTCTGGGTAGTGCAGCTCTGGCTCAGCTGGTGTTGAGTCATCTAAGTAAGGGGAGGGGCATTCAGGCTGTTGGCAGACTTTCTGTGGTCGTGGACTTCCAGGAGTGCCTCCTTGAGGGTGTGGGGGGAGGTGCAAGACCCGGTTTTCAGTTTGATGCTGCCCTTGCCTGGGCCCTGGCCCCACATGCACCCCAAGTGGTATTGTCAGTTTACTTGATGTTTCCCTAAGGAGGTGAGTGAGCAGTGGTGTCTCCCGTTTTTAATTCCCAGTTATAAATTTCCTACGCACGTCTGGAGAGCCCCTGCTGATGGGTTGCACATCCACGGTCCCTTTGGACCCAGGAGGCAGTGCTGGGTGTTCACAGTTCTGCTTGCTCTCAGGCCCCTGCTCTCAGGCCCCTGTGCAGGACGGCTGGGGAGGGGATGGGGGAAGAGGCGGGGAAACACTGATGTCTTTACTGGAGGGAAGACAAAGGTGATTCCTGGGAGCTCATTCTGGGTCTGTGGAATCACGTGCTTTTCTGTCTTAAACAACAACTTTTATTTCTCAATTTAATAAAGAGACCAGGAGGTGAGGAAGTGGCCCCGGGTGGGAAGGTGCCGGGGACCCTCCTTCAGGTCCTGAAACACAGGGATGACGCTGTGCGGGTGTCTGTGGGCGCAGTGGGCGCTCCGGGGGCGCCCTCACAGCCCCCCCTGGCCCTCCCCGCAGAGTACAGCGGCCACCGGCAGCCCCATCCCTTCGAGCGCATGATCTTCGGGGCCTGCGCGGGCATCATCGGGCAGTCCGCCTCGTACCCGCTGGACGTGGTGCGCAGGCGCATGCAGACGGCTGGCATCACGGGCCACCCGCGCACCTCCATCGCCTGCACGCTGAGCACCATAGTGCGGGAGGAGGGCGTGGTGCGCGGCCTCTACAAGGGCCTGAGCATGAACTGGCTCAAGGGCCCCATCGCCGTGGGCATCAGCTTCACCACCTTCGACCTCATGCAGATCCTGCTGCGGCGCCTGCAGAGCTAGGGGCCGGCGCGTGGCCGCCCTCAGGACCGGGAGCCACGCCCCAGCACGCGGAGGGCCGCTGACCCTGGGCACTGAGGGGGCACTGGCTCTGCCCAGAGCCACGTGGGAATGTCTGGTGGAACAAGCGGGCAGGCCAGGGGGCCTGGGCTCGGTGCCCATGGGCCCGCGAGGAACGCCAGAGGCCCTTGAAGTGCAGTGTTGGGGCCAGGAGCCCACAGCCTCTCCTCTTCCCTCCTCCCTGGAGCTGGCCCTGCTTCCCGAAGTGCCCCTCCCCGCAAAACACCCTGACACGGGAGTGACCAGCGCCACCTCCTGGTGCTCTGTGCCCATGGACACGCTCCTGGTACTAGTGACCCTGTCCCTACTAGGCTCAGAGCCAGACTCCGCCCGCCCCTTAGTGGCCCCAGCTGTGCTCAGTGCTCAGGGTGGAGTAGCCCAGAGTGGGGAGAGGCCTGGCCTCACCTGTTCACATGGGACCAGTCTCCTGCTCAGCTGCGGCTACAGATGCAGCCTCTTGCCTGCCCTTCCCCCCTTCTCCCCTTTCCTTACCAGGTGGCATGACTCCGCAGCCCCCAGAGTCTTCCGCTGGCGAACAGCCTTCTCCAAGTGATCCTGATCCTGACTTCATGCCAGGGTGGGGCCCTGGAGCCAGTTTTACCCCCTGATGCCCACCCTACAGCTGCACCCATGGAGGCCGAGCCTCCTGCCCTGACCTTCTACCAACAGGTGCAGAGGCTTCTGGGGGACCTATAGCATCTGGCACATCCTGGACTCCCCACCTGAGTGGGCGCTTGGCCCGGATAAAGCCTCCAGAGCTGTCTCATTTCCATGAATGGAGTGCATGGAGGGGGGTGGTAGCCTTGATCTTACCCAGTTGGGAGCCTGAGACAGTGTGTGGCTTGGGGTGGGCAGTTCAGAAGAGTTTAGTTACCATGGGGCACCCCCAGGGAGCTGGTCTCAAGAGAGAAGTTCCCGCCCCCCGGGTATCACAAGGACTCAGAAACACCCATTACCTACTGACATTGGAAGGTGTTCGGCTCTTTTGGTTTTAAAATCTGGCTGACCTTGGGTCTAGTCACAGTACACCCTCACCAGCCCCATCATGTGTGAAATGATCTGTGTGCCTGCTCCACACTCATCCCCAGTCATGGCCCATTTCTTACCTTTGCTCTGTCCCACGTCGGTTCTTGCCTTGGACCTGTGGTGTGCCCGCCCTTGCATGTGTCCATGGCCGGCCCCCGGATCATTCCCAGGCTCTGTCCCCAGGGACCCAGGCAGCCTGTGATCGCTGTCCTGTGGGTGTTTCACCTCCTCTCCCAGCCTTGCCCAGCACTCAGGAGAGGCGGGATCCCTCACAGGAGACAGATGGGGGCTCTAGGGCCCCAGGCCAGAGAGCACTGGGGTCCACCATGGGTGAGTGAGACCAGGCGGGACCCTCCTCTGAGCTGCAGGCTGGGCAGGAGCAGGAGGGTCCTCCAGGTCCTACCGCCGGCCGTGTGCCTCCCCAAGGTCGCTCCCAGCCCCGAGAACCCCCACTCCCCCAACCCCACTCTCAGCCGGGCTGGCACCCTCCGCGGTCACCCTCCCCACTGGCTGCCGGTCCTGGTCTGGAGTTATTTTGATGCCATGAAGAGACTTTGTTAATATATAATGTTTATATATTTTAAAGATTTGTGCCAAGAGAGTATATTTAATAAAAATTAAATTGACTTTTCCTCCTGCTCGTGTCTCTTTTCTTGGACTCTGATCCCCACCCACCACAAACCAAAAATAGGGTTGAGGTTAGTTTGATAAATTTTTAAATAAAGCCATGAATGAAACTTTTTTAAATGTAATTTTTTATTCATACTGTGATTTTCTGGAAAGTGCAAACTGCATGAAAGGGTTTACCACGTAGGTGGGTCTCCCAGCTCCTCTGTAGGGGCATCCCACTTACTGGTTTGTGTGACAGGGATGTCCTTCCAGACATCAGCCAGGATGGGCCGTGTCCTGCTCAGCAAGGGGGCCCCTGAGAAACCCCGACGTTTCTCTCTCTTGCTCCCTGTCATGTGCTGGGGGCTCCGGTCCACAGCTGGATGAAGTCTTGGGTTTAATGTCGCCATCTTCAGCTGCAGGAGGTGAGGGCACCGGAGGTCTGTCTCAGTGGTCATGGCATCCAGGGCATACCAACCAGAGCAGGAAGTAGGAGCCTTGTGTGTAGGTGGTGAGCAACATGGTATTTACTTACTACTTAACCTCATCTATTTATTCATTCCTGGGCCAGCTTTTTGCCGTGAGAAATAATGCTGTAACTGCCACCTTGGCTCCTGCACCCACAGGTGAGAATCTCCCTGGATGTGTCCCTGAGGGACCAGCCAGCTGTGGAGTTGCTGCTTCCAGGTACAAGTGCCCTTCAGTGCAGTTGTGTGAACTTCGTTACCCACAAGCATTGTGCGAGTTCAGCCACATGTGGGGCCTCCGACTCCCCACATGTGGGTGCCTCATGGTACCTCCTTGTGTTTTAGTCACATCTTCCTGTGATCCTTGCAAGGCCAAGCATCTCTTCATGACTGTTGGTTGTTTATTACCCTCCTCTTCATCATTCTATGCACAGTAGACCAAAACACCGGCCTGGTAGAAAGGTGAGATGTTCTCAAGTGACCTGAGCAGGAATCTTGTGTTTTGTGTTTTTATGCCCCAGCAAGGCAGCAGTGGGTGTGACACAGACACTGGAGAGAAGTGGCTGCAGCTTCTTCACGCAACTCTGCCAAGCCCCAGTGTGCAGTGGGCTTCAAACACCTCCAGTGAGAGTGAGTCAAGGTTCCCAGACTTGGGTGAACCCTGGTGTGTTCTGCTGGGGTGGGCAACATGATGGGTGATGCTGTTCTGGCTCTTGATGTGAAATACACTTAAAGATACGCTGTGGGGCCCAGGAGAGCCAGGTGGGAATCCTGGAGGGGAGCTGAGGGAGGGAAAGACCCCACCTGAGGAACTGGGAAAAGCCCCCCAAGGCCTGGGAACTCCCTGCAAGGTGGGTGTCAGGCAGCAGCCCCAAGGCTGGCACTGGGAAGCCATGTAGGGTGGTTAAGCAGGTGAGGGAAGGTGGAGGGGGAGCTTAGGCGGGGAGCCAGGCAACTGAGCAAGGGGATGGATGCAGGACCTGTAAGCTGAGGTTCCAGAAAACTCTGGTGAGGGGCGGAAGCAAGAGCACCCCAAGGCCCAGCCCGAGCACCTGTCTTCAACCTGGGAGACAGACTCAGACTCAGTCCCTGATTTGTATCTTCTGATAATTCCTAGTGTTTTCTTAAGATCTTATCTTTGCTGTGGTTGATTCTTCTGCCTTGTTGTATGTGTGGTGTGTGTGTGTGTATGGCATTGTGGGGAACCCAGATCCTGGCTATTTTATTTTCAAGGCTGTCACGGACTGATGTCTCCCCTGGCTCCCTAAATCCCTGTTGAAACCCAGTGGTGTTAGGAGGTGGGACTTGGGGAGGTGCTTAGGGGCAGATGAAGTCATGAAGGATTGGTGCCTTTTTTTTTTTTTTTTAATATATATATATATATATATATATATATATATATATATATTTTTTTTTTTTTTTTTTTTTTTTTTTTTTTTACAGAGAGGTAGAGAGAGGGATAGAGTTAGAAACATCGATGAGAGAGAATCATCGACCAGCTGCCTCTTGCACACACCCTACTGGGGATGTACCCGCAACCAAGGTACATGGAATCGAACCTGGGACCTTCCAGTCCACAGGCTGACGCTCTATCCACTGAGCCAAACCGGTTTCGGCGAATTGGTGCCCTCCGAAGAGTCACACCAAAGAACTGGCTCTCCTCCCATCCTCCACTGTATGAGCAGTGGCATCTGTTGTCTAACCTAGAAGTGGTGCTCTCCTGGCCAGGCCAGAGCCCTGATCTTGGACTTCCAGCCTCCAAAACAGTAAGAAATCGATGTCCTCTGCTTGCCAGCCGCTCAGGCTACGGCATTTTGTTGTAACAGCCAGAATGGACCACGCCACTGGCAGAGCGGGCCTTCTCTAAGTCATGGCCCGTATCGCTTTCCCCAGCTCTGTCCTCGCAGTCTGCTTGGTAAGAAGTCTGGTTTTTTCTCTCTCAGGAGCTGGGTGCCCTCAAAGCCCTCCTGCTCCCTAACTGAGGCAGCCCCTCATTAGGGAATGGAGTCTGCCCCAAACCCCTTCTGGCTCCTGGGCAGAGCTGTGTGCAAGGGAACAAGCAGCTGGCGCTGAGCAGAGTGGTGGCAGGGGTGTGGGGTGTTTGGGTCAGGGTGGTTTTGAAGACGTCGCAGACAGGTTTCTGAGTAGGCGGGGTAAGAGAAAGAGAAATGTAGCAGGAAAATGGAGCAGCTGTGCCTGAGGGGTAGTAGGGGAAGATCAAGAGCACTGGAGTGCTGGCTGAGCTGCCGGAGACACCGAGGACCACAGAACTAAAAATGGGACTCACTGACAAACATCTAGAGCCCACAAGGAAGGATGGAGAGGAAGGGAGCGGGGAGCCGGGAGCCTGTGGGGGTGAGGAGAGCCATGGGGGAGCCAGTGGTGGCCAGATCGTGCCTTGTGGGGAGGGGACAGCGAGGGCAGGTGAAGGCTGGACTTGACAGTGAGGCTGTTTCAGATCCGTGGGCACCTCAGGTGCTGTTTCAGTTTGCAGCACCTTTTCTTTGCACTTTTTTCCTTGGCTGACTTCTCTTGATTTGTTTTGGGGAGCTTCTTTTCTCTTTTTAATTCTCCTCTTCTTCAGATGGTTTGGAAATTATAGTCAATGTCTTGTGATGTAGGGTTTCTCAGCACTACCGATGTCTGGAGCCAGGTTTTCTTTGTTGGGGATCATGCTGGGCACTGTGGGGTGCTGAGCAACATCCCTGGCCTCCCCCCCACCAGATGCTATTAGCCTCTCCCCTCCCTCCATCTGTGACATCCAAAAATGTCTCCTTCACTGACTGGTGTCACTCTGGGGCAGGATGATCCCCTCCTGGAATGGCACCAATATGTGGTAATGGCCACTGATGAGTCCACAAAAACTAAAATTCTCCTGAAAACACAGGATCTTTACCACCATCTTCCATCTTCCCTATTTTTCTCTCACCTTATTGCTTCTCATTCTTACCTTCTGTGTGTGTGTGTGTGAAATGTGCACAGACTGTAAATGTCTGGTTTGACGCACGACAGCGAAGGCTATAACTGTCACTGGTTTTTTCGGCCGTGGCTGTCCCACAAGTGCTGCACCCATTGTGCCTGCTGTTTGTCAGCCACTGCCTTGCTGTTGTTTACGGTGTTTCCGCCTTCCTATGTGTCCCTCGACCACATGGTGTTGAGCTCCAAAGCAGAGAGCATGCACAGCCATGGTTGGGCAAGCAAGAGGCCAGGCACCCTAAGGCACCACCACAGGGAGACGTGTGCTCAGATAGTGACTCCTGAGGTGCCAGGGGGCAGTGAGGGTCCTGCAGCGCTGGGAGAGGATGTTCCATTAGCTTGAGGCATCTGAAGACTCCCAGGTCGGGGCCTCAGGCACCTGGAACCTTGCCTTGCTCCATGGAATGTTCTTCCTCTGTTGGCTTGGATCTCTTCTGCCAGAACTATTTTGAAGATTCTTCTAAAAACAATATTCTAATTTCCTCTTTGTTAGTTCTTGTTTTGTATACCTTTTTTTGTTGTTGTTCCTTCTGTAGGATTTCTACAACTTTATCTTCCCTTTGCTTTTAATCTCCAAGAGCTCCAAAGAGAACAATAAAGGTTTGTCAGATGTCCCTTTTTAGCAGCACTGTTCTCGTTTCATGAATCTCTTTTCTCTGAGAACATTCTGGATTGTTGTTTCTTTTATTGATTTTATTGATTTATTGATTTATTTTTTAGAGGAATGAGGAGGGAAAGACAGAAATATCATGTGATAGAGAAACTGACTGGCTGCCTCTTGTATGCATGCCCACTCCTGGGGGTCCAGCTCACAACCCGGGCATGTGCCAGGAGCAGGAATTGAACCAAAAATCTTTTGGTGAATGGGAGGAAACTCAACCAAACAAACCACACCAGCCAGGGCATGGACTGTTTCTGTTTTATAACTTCCCTTCTCCCTGTAGAAACAGTTTCCTGAAGTTGTCTTTTTTTCTGTTTGGGTCTGTTTCCCACACTGGACCTTCCTCAGATCCCTGGACAATCCCGCTGTCTACTCACAACGAAGAGTAAGGGCTGAGACAAGCGGGTAGGAAGCCCACAGGCGTGTGGGGAACACATGGACTCACACCTAAGCTGGAGGCTGGTGGGCACTCTGTGGTGCTGGTGTTATTGGGTCTTTCTTCTTGGACCAGCTGGATCCCCAGGGCTCTTCAGTCTCATGCCAGGTAAGTTCTAGAATCTGCAGGCATGAGAGGGGTCGTGGCTCTCTCCATTTAGCATTCATATGTACAGTACCTAATCCCATTTGCCACCACATTCCCTACCATGCCTGGCTTCCTCCCAGCATGGTGTCATGGCAAGAAAATAAGCGCCTGAGAACTTTCCAAACAGCTCCCCGGCCAGCAGCCTCCGTCTCACCCCCACCCTCAGCCTGGCCTATTGAGACCTGCTGTGGTCAGTGCCTCTGGACGTTTCTATGAGTAAATCAAGCTGTTTCCTGGGTTTAGGGTTTGGCATCCATGAGTTTGGCAGTCATTTGTGGCTCCTCCCTTAATTACACCTTAATTACTATGTAATGGAACATACTGCGGCCTTGTAT